CAACACCACGCCCGGCCGCCTTTGTCTCCCTCGTGGCGATGTTTACACATCGCAGCAGGTACTCATTTGAGGCTGAGTCGACCTGGGAGAGGCCCATAACCGATTCAGATATTCGTCACTGATGTTGGCCGTTGAGCTGGAATGGAACACGTAGCACAGTGCGCTAACCACTGCACCACCGCTCCCCACCAACCCCACCAACTTCCACTATCTCCCACCAACTCCTACCGAACTACCGAAAACTCCCCTACCGCTAATCCCGCTAACTATCGCTAACTAACTACCTAACTACTGCTAACTTGACGATACGTTGCAGCCCTTCTGACAAATGTGGTGAAGTGTGGTCAAACGACCACCGGGTCAGGCTTTCCCTGAAGGTCGCAGCAGGCACACCGCATACAGTATTCCACTTCGGCTGTGGCTAACGCCTACGTGCGTCTACCGGCGACCCGGAAAGTATTACGGTGAGAAATTCGGCCCTGGCACAGGGCTCCTCACGGCGTTAAACTATCGCCAAAGTAAACCTCCAACCTACTCGTCCTCCTCAATGGGGGGATTCATGCCAGCAGCCCTAGCACTGCCGAGGCGAGATGGGGACAGATGAACCTCCCCCCCAGCCCCCATCACTCGCCCTTCACCCTAACCTCCCCCCACCGCCTCATCCCATGATTTTACTCCATCGCAACGGCTGCCCCTGTGAGTACGCCCTTTATAGGGTAATCAAAATTAAATTACGCTTTTATTCCTATTTTTAAAAAATATTTGTGGGCAATGACTAAAAACCAGCTGGTGTGGCCAAGTGTTTTGGCTGGCCCACTTGTTGGCAACGGCCGTCAGCTTCACACGGGGGGGTGGGTGGGGGGGGGGCAGTGGTGGGGAGGGGGGGTACGCCCGGAATTTTTTTGCGCGAGTGAAAGTGAAACTGCGTGAGGATCCAGCGATTTGAAATATTTTATTTCGTTGACTTAAATTTTTTGTTGCCATTTTCAAATTTCAGAGGGTTTCGCAGAAATATTTTCTCGACAAGGGCAATTGGTTTGGGTGAACCCTTAAAGACGATGCAAGTTGTGGGTTGAATTCACAAGGACAAAGATCCCTTTCCCCCGGTAGCCTAGGGAGACTGCCAGGGAAAGAGCTGTTAGCGAGCGCCTTTTAAGGCGGATATGGGCTTGGCGTGACTGGCACCACGCTCAGCCGCACTCACTGCACCAGATACTCATTTGAGGCTACGTAGACCGTGGGGATTCCCAGGACATGCTCTGATATCACTTGCCACTCTTGATAGCCATGGCCGGGTATCGAACTCACGCACGCGAGCACTCACTGAGCCCTCTCTGTCTAACGTGGCCAAAAGTGTGGCCTCAAATTAAGTGGACACTTAAAAAAATTAAATCAGCTTTTGATGAGTGATAAAACAAAGATCATAAAACCATTTTGCAGAGATAACGCTCTCCGAGTTGCATCTTATCAACTTCCTATTTTCGCCTTCTTATCTCAACGCTTGACTCAGCCTGCTTGCCAGCTGCGGGTAAATGGGCACATCAGGGTAACATTCGGCGAATCTTCGCCAGCGAAAGTTGCCAAAACAATCTTCCGTTGTTCTATTGACACAACTCGCACTGCCACCCGATTCCAACGTGCGCACAGGTCGCCGCAGCCATCCCTGGTAGGCGCCCTGACGGCGGAGGTCCACAGCTGTACGATGCCGGCTCTGAAATCTTCCTCCCTTGCGGGAGTCGTGGCCTTGACCTGCCGCGTGTACCGCCGTTAGCTCACGAGGCGCCCATGGTGGAGAGGCCACGAGAAGGAGGTGATGGAGGGAGGTGGAGGTAGCGGTGATGGAGCAGGAGGAGGAGAAGGAGGTGATGCAGGGAGGTAGCGGTGATGGAGCAGGAGGAGGAGGTAATGGAGGGAGGTGGAGGGAGTGGTGATGGAGCAGGAGAAGGAGGTGATGCAGGGAGGTGGAGGAGCGGTGATGGAGCAGGAGGTGATAGAGGGAGGTGGAGGTAGCGGTGATGGAGGAAGGAGGAGCAGGAGGAGGAGTGAGGTGGTGTGAGAAGAATTGAGACCGACATTACGGGACGAGGTTGGGTGTGGGAAGACCGCACGGAGAGGCACGGTGTTCAAAATAAAAGACGATGACGACGACGATGATTGCGATGACGATGATTTAGTGGGAGCGTGGGGAGCTACTGGGGGGAGCAGCAGAGATCACTGCGACTCTGACGTTAATGATACAGCTGAGAATCCCATGCAGAGATGTTGGGTGGGGGGGAGGTGCTAAACGAGTGGGGGGGGGGGGGAGAGGAGCTGTCGATCTGTGTAGGCAAGCAAGAGGTAGCGGTGATGGAGCATCCACAGGTGTGCCGCTACACCCTGGGGATGTGGGGCAGGTGCTGCTAACGAGGCCGACCATGATTGAGGGCGTGGGGAGGTGGGGTAGGTGGGTGGGGTAGGTGGATGGGGTAGGTGGGTGAGGGGGGGGGGGTCGTAGGGGGAGGGAGGGGAGTTATCACCGCTGCCAGCACCACCTGCAATAGAGCCAAGCGCACGCAGCGGGCCCTCGTGTCGGCGCTCGGAGTTCGGGGGGGAGGGGGTCGGATAGGGGGGGGTAGCGGGGGGCAGGGGGGGGTAGCGGTGGGCAGGGGGGGGGAGTTCGGTTGCCAAAATCTCTCCCGTGCCGCAGGAGTCCGCCCGCCGGGGTTGGGATCGCGAGAGAGCCGCAACGAACGCTCGGAGTGCGCGCGTCGGTGTGGTTCGGGCCGGGTTGCGCACGAGCGCCGCCGTGCCGACTCTCGTGTGCGCGCGCGTGTCTGCGTGTGTCCCGTGAACCACGTGTGCACGGTGCACACGTTCAAAGACACACACACACACGTACGTACACAGGCTATTTATGTGCGTATAGTTGAACTTCTTTCGCAATCGTACGTAGCCAACCGTGCTCATTGGAGGTGCGGGGGAAGTACAACAAACTAAAACACAAGAAAGGTTTACCCCACAGGTAGACGATTCGACACGCAGACACACTTTACACAGACAAATGCATAGACATGCATATCGGTTACCCCACACACCCACGCTCCAGAGACAAACACATGAGGTTTACCCATACAGGTAGACAATTGCACACATGCACACGCTGTACACACACACACACACATTATTTACACACTGAATAAGCCACAAAGAGTTACACACACAAACACACGTATACAGCTTGTATACACAACCAAAGCACCCGGCACACCACCTCCAGTATACATCTCGCTTTGGCCGTGTCCACTACTGCGACTGGCCACGCGCCACCTACCCCCAGTCTACCAGCGGCCCGAAAAATATCCGGTGATGGATTTAAGCCATACTGGCGCTGACATCATCGTCAGACGCCGCACACTAACACGAATCGTTGTGTACAACGCGCGGTAAATTTCCGACACATTGCCTGGTGCACGTAACCGTTCGCTTAGTCTCGGGTGATCTGCTGAAACCGCCTCCCCTCCTCCTCGCTGTCCGGCAACTTCGATCCATCAGAATCCCGGGGCACCGTGAGTGGAACCGAGGACAAATGCGTCTGCGTTCAGTGGGTGGTGACAGAGCTTTCAGGAGCCGGGCGCTACGTTTGTGGGACGCTCCGTCAGTCGAGGTTTTTTTTTGGGCTCGTCTGAAAACCACGTTTATTTTCCCCGTCCGTGTAAGGGGGTTGTTTGCCCCTTAGTTTTAATCTTAAGGTTTATTTTTATTACTGGCATGGTGTCGTGGAGCGCTCTGCGGCCTTCAAGTCCATGCTCAAGACCTCTATTGTTGTTACTCTACCCGTGACCTACTAACTGCCTCTCTCCATTTATATTTAAGATAAGTGTTCCCCCTGTGTCTGTACGGTGTCTTGTGACGCGGCCACATTTAGAAGAGACGTACAATTCAAGCGGCATAAGTGTTGGACCGTATGCATGGTCTGTCTGTCTGCCTGTCTGCTGATTCCTGTGGAATCTGAACGTTCATTACACGAACAACTGACAGAAAAATAAAACCCAAGGGCGTTCAGCCGCGATGAATAAACGACGGCGACACAGCAGTAGCAATTAATGTAACCGGAGCCACTGAACTTAAATAAATCGTGTTCAAAAACGCGTCCTGCAATTCGAGTGTGCACTCATAGGACCACGGCAGATGGCAACGGCATGAGACCTCCATCCAACAGTGGATAGACAATGGATGTTGCTGATGATTATCATCATCAGCAGCAGTAGCCAGACACTACAGAAAAAATCAAAGACACTAGCAAGGCAACAGATTCACAACGGATAAAAACCCAGAACTAAATACACTCGTCCAGCAGTAGATTGACAAATCACTGTACATAGGGTTTCATTTAATCCGGATCTATCCGGGTTGATGACCTGGAAACACTATTTCCGCACACGGCACACCGCGTCCAGAATACCTCTCACTGCCAGCTGTGGCTACTCGTCACGCCCGTAAATCACGGATGCTGCGCACAGGGCCCAAACGCCCACAACGCCAAGAGTCAATGCGTTGTCCTGAGGTGAGCAATGTTCTAAGAACGTGGGAAGGTGGTGGGGAGGGGGGATGAGTGAGAGATTTTAGGACCGACGACACTTGGCAGGTGATTCGGCGGCAGAGCGGGCGGCTTGCAATGGGTAGCTTCCAAGTTCAAATCCTGACTTAGCCCATCATCATCTCTTTGGGGTCGATAAAACGAGTACCACTTTGTCAGAAAGTGAAAAGTGCTTATCCTATTGTTTAACTTTCCCCAACAGAGGAATATGGAATTTCCGCCAACGGCACAGGCCTGTAGACAGGAGTTGACCAATGCCTAACTGTTGCTCATTTGAGCAAAATAAAGAAAAAAAAATCACTGACCTTTAATTTTAGCACATGTACCTAATACGCTACTCCGGCGCTCACGACTAATCCACCGCTCAGATGACTTAACAGCCCCCGAGGTGATCAAAGAATGGTGGTGATGTGTGCAGACAAACCTGGCCGGCAGCTCTCCTCTTCATCGTTGCCGCGTCAAACCGCGTCGTCTCAACGTCCCCCCACCGCGGTCGCGCCACATCGCTTCCTCCACAACAGAGTCCGGGTGACCACCCCCCAGTCCGCCCGCCCGCCCACCCGCTGTGCCTGCCAGCCAGCCAAGCAAACAAAACACCGCGGCCGTGACCGTGGTGGCACCCGATTCTGTGAGACGGACGATCGAGGCCGACCGCGAGGTCCGGACTGGGAGGAGGGGAAATTTGACGCACGCTCGCTCTCTCGTTCCCTACCCTCCCCCTCCCTTCCCCTTGCTCCCTCCCGCCCTCCCTCCTCCCTCTCCCCTCGCTTACTCCCTCCCTCCGCTATATATTTTTTGGGGGTTCGCTTCGCATTAATCACCGCGCGTGTCGCCAAGTGGGAACGCCCCGCATGCAGCAGCAGCAACTCGCATTCCTGCGCGAACGAAGCTGCCCCGTGTGTGTACACGTGTGTGCGTGTGTGTGCGCGCACGTGTGTGCGCACGTGTGTGCGCACGTGTGTGTGGGTGCGTGCCCGCTTTTATAGGCACTTGCCCCAAAAAGTCTGCTAAGGCTCTACGGGGGATCCTTATCATTGTGTGTGCACACTGCACACACGTGTGCGCGTGCACGTGTGTGCGCGTGCGCACCTGGGTTCTGTCACGTGACCTCCTGCCAGCGGGCCTTCGACACTTCACGTAGCCTTAACGTGCACATAGCCTGGCACAATCGCCGAGGTGACGTCACCTGTTGTTGTTGTTGTTGTACGTGTATGAAAGCGGCATTGTCGTGGTTAACCTGCTGCAAACCCGGTCAACAGGAGTGGCAGCGAATATTTGAACCAGTTCTGGTCCTCCCCCTAGGTCGACTCAGCCTGAAATGAATAGCTTGGTGCGGTGTGTTCAGAACATCGCCACTGGGGAGACAAAGGCGGCCAAGCGTGGTGCTGGTCACCCACCCCCTTTTATACGCCGTGTCCGGTGTTCAAAGGCACTACTCGCTAACAGCACTTGCCCCCACAGCTTGTTAAAGGCTATGCGGGTGCCCTTTGTCTGTGTGCGCGTTGCACGAGTGCGCGCGCGGTGTAGATTACACAGGCAGATGAAGAGCATCGCGAAGAGGCGAGCTTCAAGTGCGGCACAGTGAATCGTTCTCTCGTGATTCGTTCTCTCGCGATTCGTTCTCTCGCGATTCGTTCCCTCGTGATTCTTCATTCTGCAGCCCCCTACTTCCCCCCGCCCCCCACTCTGCGACACACGCCTAGAGCGAGGTGAATCGTTTTGTTTTTCTTCATCAAAACTGGGCGAAGGAACGCATATCCCTTAATCCTCGCCGTTTCCTTAGACGGCGAGGTTGTTGGTCATTCCGGTAAGTAACACGAGCCACGGTGAACCACGAGGATTGACAGCACAGACAGACACACACAAGCACCCACAAATAAATAATCCGCAAATAAAAAAAAATGTTAAAAATTTCACTTTAAACAACAACAACAACAAAATGTGCTGCTTAACCTAGAGAGCGTGGTCACACACACACGACACACCACACACACACACTAACTAATAACTGTGCTTGGTCAGGAAGGGCACGTGGCCCACAGCTCCGATTAGCACGGTTGGCTACGTACGTTGGGAAAGAAGTTCAACATACGTAGTGCACACATGCATAGCTATCGGGGACGACGGCGGTGCGAGAGACGAATAATGGATTGCCACCAAGATGACAAATCACGCGTGGAGGGAGTTTTCGTCCAAATGTGGAGATGAAGTCACGAGATCGGCCAGTGCAAGGTGCAAGGTGAGCGTTGCATCGCGTGACCGTGAGAGATGGCCACGGCTCTGGGAGCCCTTCAACCAGCAGTAGATCGATCATGACTGCTCATGATGGTGGTGATTATTGGGGTTACGGCAGCAGCAGCAGAGAGAGAGAGAATGTTGTCGGGAGGAGACTCTCGTGTTGTTAATGTTCGACTCTGGACTTGCCACGGCGGTCTCATTTGTCGACCTAAATACAATTCTTACGCTCACGATAAGCGTCCGAAGCCTCACTTTGTTTGCACCGATTATGTATAATTGCTGCGCGCATCACGTGTTGTTTCATATTTCGAGGCTAAAACTATACCTGGACGTGAACGTACGAACGAGGGGGAATACAACCGATAAACAACACCTCGAAAACTGTTCTCGAACTTAGAACAGCCACAATATTCAACTCGTAAATTACAGGGGGGCGGGGGGGGTTTGCACTGCGGCATTTAAATGAAGCACAGGCAAAAATGTCCACCCCCCCCCATGAGTCATTCTCCATCGGGGTGGCGGCTGCTGGCGAGGTCACCAAATCGGGGGATCCACTAAATTTACCCCACGCGGTCAAAAGCGACGTGCACCGGACACGCGCGCACATCGCTACCACTCGCCACGCCGTCACCGTCCGCATCAACGAGCGAGCACAACAAAAGGGGAATTAAATGGGCAGCGTTGCCCCATAATTGCGGCCACGCTTCGCTGCGCCCGTACCCACGCTTATCGCCCGTCCGGTGGCCAAAGAAAAAAAAACACCCTAAAAAGTTCACCGTAGCCACGGCAGTTGAGCCTCGCGAGCAGAGCTTAAACGAGTCGCCAATTAAACGATTTGGTGGTAGCGCTGCAGCAGCAGCAGCTGCTGCTGGGTTTGTAGCGGTACACAAGCACAGTTTACAGCCACAACAACAAAAAGTCAACAACGTTGGTCAATAACACTGCGATTTTTAAAATGAAAAAGGGTATAATAGGCGACGTTTTGGGCAATGATCCTTTTTCAGATCACAGAGAGGACACGTTTAGGCACGTGAAGAGGGTCCATTGCTCAAAAGGTCGTTTATTAAACATATTTTGTACTCTATGTGCGGCTAAACAGAACCCACGTGATAGCAATTCAGATATGTAGGCTATCATTTATGTTCTGATATCCATACAGTGTGTACTGTATATAATTGGCTAAAATTAATAAAAACTAATTTAAACAATAACATTGACGGCAATTAACATGAATTGTCCCCTTGTTCAATGTTCATTGGGTGAGCCAATGTTGGGGCATTCCACGTTCCTATGGCAGCGACCAGTCTACCTTGAACAGATAACCAGTCTCGGAGCGCCACGGTTACGAGATGTTAACTCCCTCGCCTGGTTTACAGAAGGTCGTGGGTTCGACCCTGATCCCTGACGCCTGCTGTATATTTGGAGTTTCCATGTTTTCCTTCCACATTTAGAATCAACGTGCGTCTAGAGTAATTTGGCTTCTAGGACATTTCTACACGATAAGCCACTTCGTTGAGCCATCACGTGTCGCCAAGTCGCTTCTGAAAGAGAGCTACATAGTTCAGTGGGGCCTTACCTGGCAAAATAAAATTTAAAAAAATGTAGTTTCGTCACAGTGATTTGTTTCACAAATGAAGTCAGCAACACGTGCGCTGTGTGAGACAGGTGGTTGGAGCCGCTCATTATTTACTTTGGCTTAAAGTAAATAAACCCCACGTGACAGCAATTCAGGTGTTTGGGCGACGTTTGTGGTTGTGATGTTCTGTGAAGTGGCTGCCTAATCCTAATCGCAAACTTTAAACAACAAATAAATAATGTGGGTTAAATTTAAGATCAAGGTATTCCTCTTCTCAAACATGCACACTGGGGCATTATGCGTTGCAGATTCCGGCGGACCAATGTTGAGATTTAAAATTGCTATGGCAAGTTCCCAGGAAATATTATGATAGTAATAATATTGCAATTTATAAAAATGGTAATGCAGTAAAGTAATTAGATTTTTTTTAACAATTCTAATTATTCAATTATCATTAAAACTTAAAACATGATCTCATCATCATCGATCAGCCATGGTCGATCCACTGCTGGATGAAGGCCTACCCAAGCAACTGCCATCTCCCACGATCCTGCGGTGTAATAAAAATCATCCACCTAGGGTCCTGCACAGGAGCTGATTTCACCGCTCCATCTCCTCGGCGCACGTGTCCTCACTCTCTCTCTCGGGACATTTCTCTCGTATCCGTGTCTTGGCTGTGAGATGAGCTATTGTCTGACAACTGTCGGTTTCGCACTGCCACAGATACGTCCGTTTGGAATCCAACATCACGGGGAAGGTCGAGGCAGAGAATCTTGCATCCCTCGCAACCCGTAAACGCCTTACCGCAAAGCAAACACGCGAACTGTACCTGGGAAAATAAATTAATAACGAACACAAAAGACGAGGATCCCCGCGGACAGCCTTAACAGACTGCTGGGGCACGTGCTGTTAGCGAGCACCTATGAAGGCCGGCACGGCACAGGAGGGGGTGGGTGGCCAACGCCACGCCCGGCCGCCTTTGTCTCCCCAGTGGCGATGTTTACACAACGCACCAGATACTAATTTGAGGCTGAGTCGACTTAGGGGAAGCCCAGGAACGGCTCAGATAATCATCACTGCTGTTGGCCTGTGACCGGGATTTGAACTCTGGCGGCTCAGCGCGTTTAACCGCTGCAACTAGCACAATCCCCGCGTACAATATCACAAAGAAATAAGTAACACACCACCTTTTTATTTTTCGGTGGCACTACTGCGTTTTTCTAGGGCAGCCAGTGATGTTTTTTTAAATAGCTTTTGTAAGTTTGCACTGTATATGTGTGCGCGCGCGTGTGCGTGTTGTGTGGATGGCGTAGTATATCTCGGCAAGATTGCGATGTGTTATTCTCCCTCGGCTAGTTTGCTGGAGGTTGTGGGTTCGATCCCGACCCTGACGCCTGCTGTATATTTGGAGTTTGCGTGTCTCTCTCTCTCTTCGTGGTCACGTGGATTTTTCTCCGGATCCTCCGGTTATCCCTCCACATTTACAAAACACGCGTTAAGAGTATTTGGCTGCTATATATTTCCACGTGATAACCCATTTTGTTGACCTATCATTAGTGGCCAGGTCGCTTCTGAAAAATTGCTCTATAGCTCAGTGGGCCTTACGTGGTAACATAAAACATCGCTTTTTAAAAATAGTTTAGCTTGACTCAGCCTCAATTGAGAGCCTGTGTAAAACATCGCCACTGGGGAGACAAAGGCGGCCGGGCGTGGTGCTGGCCACCCA